GATGATGATGATACATGCTGATACCTTGTTATCAGTGTAACACGGTACTCCTAGTGTCACGTACATCCCAAGTCTTTCATCAAAAGAAGGTGAGGACAGCTACGAGAAAAATAGAAAACATCGTCAGACTCAACTAGAACTAGACAAACAATAATGGAGCGGTTTGTATTGTTGTTGCACGAGTGGGGAGGTGATTATTATTTAGAAGAGAGTATAAAACTTCATCAGGCTCAACTAGAACTAGAAATCAAGGGATTAAAAAGAGTTGACAAGGAAGGAAAGAGAGAAAAAATATAACGAGCAAAATGAGGACAGATATTTTACTTACATATGGATCGGAGGATTGTATTCGTTCGTTGTAAATGTTCTTGTAGAATCTTCCCATCCGAAAAGCCAGGTCGTTGTAGTCGTAGATTGTCTGCAGAAGTGAAAATCAAAGGTAGAGATAAAAGAATAATATTTTATAACTAGATCTTATCGGCAAACCTAGCAGTCAGCAAACCTATCAGTCAGTCAGTCAGTCAGTCAGTCAGTCAGTCAGTCAGTCAGTCAGTCAGTCAGTCAGTCAGTCAGTCAGTCAGTCAGTCAGTCAGTCAGTTAGCCATTTAGCATGTTAGGCAGTCATTCTGTCAAGTCGGCTAGTCGGTCAGTCGATCAGTCAGTCAGAAAGTTAGTTGGTCGGTCGGTCGATTTAATATATAGAGCGTTTTCACTCACGTGAGAAGGCAGTCATAAACAATAGAAACTTTCTGCACAGTATTTGCATAAAAATAGAGTTCAATTCCCGGAGGATAGAAAATGCATTGTTTTGGTACCCATTAATGGCCGCTGTGACGTCACGTGAACACGATCTATCAGTATATTCAATAGATCCTTCAAACACTCGAACTGCTTCTTTCGTTCTTCAGGTGGCAGCCATGCTTCTTACCTCTAGCTTTCCCTTCGTCACAGCAGCCATTTCAGCCAGCTTGGCTCTGCTGTCCCGGATGTAGCTGTTGTTGGATCTCCCAACAAGATGATAAACATGGACACTGATCGACGTGTTGGCGTTCTTCAAGAGCTGTGGTATACTCTCTGTCGACGTATCCTGACTACCGGTAACGAATATTAACTGAAATAAAAACAAACAAAAATAACGAAAAAAAAAAAAAAAGAAAGTCAAATCAAGTATAGTCTAAGTTCTAATTTCCACCAATCAGAGCGCGTGTTATTCCTACCAATTAGAGCCTGCGTAATTTCCACCAATTAAAGGCGGTGTTAATTCCACCAATCAGTGCCTTGTAATCCCACCAATAAAAGCGTCAAATTACCAATAAAACTACCAATAAAATATCAAAATGCGTCTCATGAGCAATATATCAAAGCGCGTGAAGCGCGCGTACTTTCTACCAATCAAAGCGCGCGTAATATTTACATAACAAAACATGTGTAATTTCTACCAATCAACGCGTGCGATACACAGGATGGCTACTCACGTGTGTATCTCTATTGTTATTCGCCATGGTGTTCGTCACCAGTTTTAGCGCAGTAGAAATAGCGTTGTAATA